GAGAGAGAGAGAGAGAGAGAGAGAGAGAGAGAGAGAGAAAAAGAGAGAGAGAGAGAGAGAGAGTCACAAGATAGTTATTGTTGTCTGTCACACAATATTGTTATTGATATTGAAAAGTATTGTACGAATATTGTAATTGCCGTGTTTTTCTGGAATTAGATTTTTTCTTTCTGGTCCTTTTTCCTGGTTCCATTACTATTGATTTATTAATATTTATGATAAATTGTTTATTAATATTGGTGTGAAGTCCTGGCCAGGCATTTGTTTATTAACTGTGTTGAATTTACTTCTAAGTGTTGCTATTGTGATTAAACTGTGTTTTTGTTGTTGAACCCTGATTGTAACAGCTTGTTCATTTTAGACCGTTACATCAGTGCCAGAACAGGGACCTTTTTCATAAAAGTTGAATTGTGACTTTGAATTCTTTTATGTTTCTCAATTTGATATCAAGTGATTAATTCAGCAATAATTTAAGTTCAGTTAATATAAGTTAGCTAGTGTTTGAATATAACTGTATTATTATGGAAGTTAGTGAGTCTGATGTGGCAAGCTTGAAGCAGTCTGTGTCAGTACTGACAGAACAGGTGGAAATGCTAACATGCATGGTGACTGATTTACTAGTGAGAGAACCTAGGTCTCCCTCTCCTCAACCTGAAATGTTGAGAGTCCATTCTACTTACAAACCTGTAGAAAATTCATTGATTTATGTCACTGCAGTCAACCCACCACCCCTATCTGTTGAGAAGTTTGATGGTAAGTAGGATTTTAATGTCTTGGAGTTTTTTAAAAGTTTAGAAAGACATTTGTATATGAATCAAATACCTGAGAATAAATGGGTGGAAACTGTGGCTTCTTGTATGAGGGGAGGGTGACTAGAATGGTGGAAGGCTTTCAGATCAGAAATTGCTTTTAAACATTGGGGAGAATAAAAAAAAAAATTGACTAATTTGTACCCTGCAGTGTTAGATAATATCAAATTGGCTAAGGAACACTTTAGTAGGAAGTACTGTGCTAATGCAGGGGAGTCGGTCGAGACGTTTATTTGGAAAACTGTGAAGTGTGTAATATCACAATTGCACGTTTCTTTACGAAAATACTTGGAATGCCACTTTGTTATATAAGCTGATGTGCTTAAATTTACTAAACAACATGAGTATTGATGGAATAATAAACAAACTTTTAAGAGTGAAGTGATTAAAGCTGAACACTATAACAGATTTGTGTGATGCTATACTTGTAATTAAATAGGGCACTTACCTATGCATTGTCAAAATAAAATAAAATACATAAATAGGGAACAAGAACAAAGGACAGTGGTTGGTAAACAAAAGCAGGGATCAAAGGAGGAGGTTTTGAGACCTGTGAAAATAAAACCCTCCATTAACTACTTACAACAACTAAAACTAATCTTCCACACCTAACCCTTAAAGATTAATGGTGTGAAAGTAGTAGGTCGTGTAGATACTGGGTCAGATTATTCAGTACTAAATGAAAATATATGGCAACAAATCAAGAGAAATGATCCAACACTTCAACTAAAAACTTGGAGTAAAGGTAACATGTGTCAACCGTTAGGATATTTTGAAGTTTTGTTGTCATCAAAGATTTGGCTGTAACTTGTCTTACTGGATTAGACTTCATTCAGCAAAACGAAGTAACCCTTAACTTCTTCACAAATGTTCTTGAATTAAACGTGCCATCTTTTAGGCATGACTATGAGACTGAAAAGATACAGATTGCAGAAGTACAATGTTCATATTTGAAGAGTAAAGACTGTGAACAATTAAAGCAGCTTGTGTTGGAATATGGCAATACTTTTAACAATAAACCTGGCCTCACAGATCTGTCTGAACATAGTATTGTAACCACGAAAGGAAAGCCAGTGTTTAGTAAACCTTATTGTTATTCTCCCACTAAATTACAAGTGCTACATGATCAAGTAGATGAAACGTTTCATGATGGGTTAACTGAACCCTCCACTTCTTGGGCTTCTCCAGTAGTTATTGTCATGAAGAAGAAGAATGATTTTAGGTTCTGTGTTGAGTTACACATTATTTACTATTAATAGTAACTAAAATATAAAAATACGGATCTTTTTAAGTTACTTAAGACTAGATTTGGGAAGATAAGTAATAATAATAATAATATAATTACAATGGTTCAAGAGTCACGCGAGCAGCTCATAGTAGCTCGTGGGTATTGTAATTTGATAGCGTAACATGACCTGCACATTCTCCAAGTGATTTACAACATTTTATGGTGTGGATAGTAGTCAGACACAGTTCAAAGGGCAATAAAACAATAAAATTTAATTATAAATAGATGTATAAGTTTACGAACAGAGAGCTACTTAGGATGTTGGATTAGGAGCAGTTCTGTGTCAGAAGGGTATCACAGCATATACCAGTAGAATACCGAACTCTGCAGAAAAAAACTATATTACTACAGAGTTAGAATGTCTAGCCGTAGTCTGTCTGGACTGTAGAACAATTTAAGATATACCTAGATGGAGAATAATTTACAGTTATAACTGACCACATTGCCTTGAAATAGTTACAGACAGCTCTGAAGTTACTGGTAGACTGATGTGTTGGTCACTAAAATTACAAGACTTAACATTTGAAATACTGCACAGAAAAATAAAAGATTTCCCTGATGACCTATCTAGACATCCTATTGACCCTCCAAAAGAAACTCCAGATTTGGACATCAGTAAGCTATCAACTACATTTTTTGCCATTGTCACTGTTAACACTAGAGAACAACTGGCTACTGAATAACCTGAAGATGATGAATATAAGCATACATACTCTTATTTGAAAACTGAATTATTACCAGACAATTCTACTATAATTGCAGAGACTGTAAGTAAATCCAAACACTATGTCTTGAATAATAATGTTTTTTATTACCCATAAAGGGTTGCTAGCAATGGAGAATTCAGACCAGTTATTCCCAAAGTATCCAGATGTGGTTATTGGCCTGGTATGACAAAGGACATTAAAAATTATATGTTGTCATACCATGTTTGTCAGATCATTAAATACAGGTGTGTGGATTCCACCCAGCCCATACTCCCAAAGTAACCATAAAGCAATTATACTGTAACTTTTTAAAATGTACACATATCTTCACAAAATTTGGCAGATTATCAGTAAACATTACAAGGCATTCGTGCACAAAGTATCAGATTTTTTATTTAAGTTTTAACATTTTTTAATTAATTATTTGCTCATGAATTTTTACTTTCGAATATTGACATTCCAACACGCGAAGTAATTTTGATTTTAAGATTAAAAATACTTTTGTGCATCAGAAAATTGTCAAATTTCGTATGTGAAATCTCCATAACCTCCTAATATCTTCCAGGTAATTATCAAACTTTTTTTAAGAAAAAACTTTATATTTTATCTGTTATTTTCACTATTATATCTTTATATGGGTTTGGTCGATTCTATCAACCTTCTAACCACCATAAAAAAATAGAAAATAGATATAAATTAAGTTTTTTTGTTCTAGAATTACCACAGATTATAAACCAAAACCACAAATGTTCACTCTAAATAACTTAAATCTCATAACATTATACATTTAAATGTATTTAATATTTTTATATTATTGACCTTTCAGTCATTCCTGACTAACAATACAGAAGTTGCACTGATTTGGTGCATGTGCACTCATGTTACCCTATTCAAGAATATAAAACTGGTCTTTAGAAAGTGACATGTTTTGGCTGTGTTCTATTGGACCAATATTTTGTAAAATACAGTCACATTTCGATTATAACACATTATA